TTCTGTTTCAGGTGGATATTTTTCTTTTTTTAATAGTTTTAAACCTCTGAATCAAAGGATTGCATCACTTAACCTTTCAATGTAATATGAGTAAGCAAGGGTTCCTAGCTCTGGGGAAGTTGTGAGAGCCCAGAATTGAGTAGGTGTTGTCCAAAAGGAATATTTACCATTATCTCATAAGTGTGATCACTTTGATGCTTCTTGTATTCAAACCCTCGGGTGAAACACTGCAGAACAAAAGATCAGAACTGTGTTATTTCTGCCCTGAAGAGGTTTTCACCAGTCCCTTTTTCACTTTCATTCTCTGACCACCTGCCCATGGCACAATCCTTCAGCCTCCAAACCCTCTTTGTCCTTTCCCTGTCCCTGAGCAAACAAGTGTGCTGATCCATGTTTGGAGAGAGCAGTTATAATGTGTCCCTGGACAGCCTGGCACCAGGCAGGCTTTTGATGGCTCTCCCAGAGCAACGAGAGGCTCTGCCCTGCTGCTGGCACTCACCTGCAGGCACAGCAGGAAGGGAGGGGGCCCACACTCAGCACACTTCACGTAGGGCTCCGTCAGGTACGAGGAGCAGCCTCGGCACGGGGGCTTATCAAAAGGGTCACCTGGGAAAACAAGAGGAAATCTCCTGTGACACGAGCACAGCACTGCTTTGACAGCCCCTAAATTCACCTGTGCCCAGCCCCAGCAGTTGATGGCTCTTGTGGGTCCAGCACAGGATGTTCTGTGATTTTATGGATTTTAAATGAACTCAATTGTGCAACAAAATAAATAAGATTGTCAGGTTATAATGGTTTCAAACTCAAAGAGAGCAGGGTAAGATTGGAGTATTTGGAAGAAATCCTTCCCTGTGAGGGCGGGGAGGCCCTGGAACAGGATTATCAGAGAAGCTGTGGCTGCCCCTGGATCCCTGGAAGTGTCCAAGGCCAGGCTGGATGGGGCATGGAGCAACCTGGGATAGTGGAAGGTGTCCCTGGTCCTGGCAGGGGGTGGAATTGGATGGGCTTTAAGGTTTCTTCCAACCCAAACCAGTCTGAGATCCCTTGATTCTGATTTTTTCCAAGAAAATAGATTTGAAGCAGCTCAATTAGAAGTAGACAGAAATAAGACAAAACTCACACTGAATCACTGGTATGACCACTAAACCATGTCCCCAAAGTGCCACATTCACACATTTTTTGAACACTTTCAGGGATGGTGACTCCAAAATCCCACTGCTCCAAGAAATCTTTGTACCATGCAGCGTTTTCATTACCAGATGTGGGAGCTGAATTATCTGATAGCACTTACTGCTGAAGGAAGCCAGGCGCTCCATCCCTCCCTCCTGGTGCTGGTTGTGCTCCCTGGAGTAAAACTCGGCTGGCCTAAGCACCCGGAGTGTGACCCTTGTCCCAAACTTGTATCCCAAAGGGAATTCTCTCCCTGCAGCCACCTCTTCCACAGCTCTCACAGGTGTGATCCTCCCAGGATGTCCTGAGCAGGAAGCAGAAGGGCTGTCAGCAGCCCCCAGACCCCATTCCACACAGATCAAAGTCTGTTCTCTGGGTAAGGGGAGAAATCAAACACGGAGATGCGGAGTGATGGGGATGCAACCCCACAGTGAGGGTTTCAGTGGGAATGGATGTGTGAGTGGAGAGTTATGAGCAGCTGCTGTGCAAGGAAGTGCTCTCCACCTCCCAAAAGCACTCCCCATATTCCACTCCCCCATATCCTACTCCCCAGTCCCCCACATCCCAACCCTTAAATCCCTCACATCCCAATCCCCGCTCCCCACATCCCCATATTCCAGTCACCGCTCCTCATATCCCATATCCTAATCCCCCAATTCCTACTCCCCACATCCCAATCCCCATTCCCCTACATCCCAATTCCCGCTCCCCCATTCCCATTCCCATTCCCATTCCCATTCCCATTCCAATTCCCATTCCCATTCCCATTCCCATTCCCATTCCCGTCTCCAGCCCGGCTGCCCCCTCTCCCCATCACCGCCAGGCGGCGCCCC